CTCATACGCTGGTGCGTGAAATTTTTAACTGTTTTCCAGTGTTTGAACTATTTTTGCATAGACTAAATTACAAGGCAGTTAAAATCATTAATAGGCAATCGTTCGACGGGCTGAATTGCACGAAACGCATGATCGCACCGGCTAGTCTGGTGCGCGTTGCCATTTATTAAAACTGTATTGAGCTATGAGTCAGTTGCTGAACCAGCATGAAAATTGAATTTTTGACAGTAAGATCCCCAGCTGTTTGAGGTTTTGAGATCCGGATTGTTATTATTGTCCAGTGAAAAAGTTACCGTTGAGTGCAGGTGTGACGGGCTTTATCGTCCTGAACTGCACCTCTTTCATAGGTTTTTTTTACAGCACCTAATACCCTCCTTGGAGGTCATTTTCTTCGTCAGCACCACCAGTTGACGGTATGGGACTCCCACTGGAATTTTTTGCAGTGCTGGTAGCGTGTTGTGCTCATCTTTACACGAAGTTTCTTTGTAGGTGGCCAAATTGAAATAATTTTTGGCTGCGGAGGTAGAACTGACGCGATGGTGGAATGGAGATAAGGTGCCGAAAGCGAAATGGATCAACTTTTTGGAAGGAGTTGTGGCCAATCTACAGCTTCTGCCGGGCGCCGAATGTTAGTTCGCTACTTCATCCTGTGCAGTCTAGTTGTTTAATTAAAGTTATGCAAAGACGCGATGCAAACTTCACTAGAAATCTTGGCGGAGACAGTACATGTAGATAGCCGAAAACAATCGATGGTTATACAGCTGCTGTTCAGAAAAACAAGGCTTTCTGGTATAAGGCGTCCTGCGTGTTGGTCACATCTAAGTAGTTTGAGCGGTCAATACCATTAGTTTGGGTGATGCTGGTTATATGAGGGGAGGCCCCGTAGAATTTCGCTTCGTCATGTGTTTGGCTGTTTGTTTTGAAGTCAAAGATGGGTATTATTTCAATTGCAGCACTCTCTCCGTCAGTCTGTGACTCTGTGCTTGGATCCCTGGATCGGTCAGTATCAGTTGCATCGGTGCCACTGCTTGCATCGGCCATTGGCGCAATCATCGATGCTAATCGTAAAAAGTACGAAGAAGAACGAGCGACACTGTACCAATAGGTCACTTCGATTCGTTTTTGTGTTTAAAATTTCAGAACTGCCGTACTAATGAGGCCAAAATACAGCAATTGTCATATTAGGAATTCTTAGAATTAACGCATGCAGTGCTTGAAAGTTTGGACCTGTCTTCTGACCTGAGCTAAGAGCTTTATGGGCCTGTCCTTTCCGAGTCTACGTTTTTTTTAGGTCCTAAAGTATTGACGTAGCTCCGACTATTTTTTATGCGTTTTGTGCTGTGTAGCAGCAGTAGAAAACGCATATTGTCACGGAGTTGTCTGTGTGTATGTATCTATGTACGTGTGTGCCACATTTTGTCCCGCACTTTCAACTCGAGAACCACAAAAGCTAGGCGGCTGAAATTTTGGTATAGTACTCTCCGCCAACGGGTGACGCGGCAAATTTAAATTCAGCCTTCCCGTACCTGCGGGTAACTCGTACGGCACCCCGCCAGCGGGTGACGCGGCAAATTTAAATTCAGCCTTCCCGTACTCGCGGGTAACACGTACTGCCCCGTGAAAGTTTTTTACTGGTAAATTAATTTTTCAGGAACCACGGAGTCCAGGAGGCTGAAATTTTAGGGCAATGACCCCCTGCCCTCGCTCGACCTTGCCTATTCAAATACAGCGTTCCTGCGCTCTTGAGTATCACTTACGGCCTCGTGAAAATTTTGGCGGGTGAAGTATTTACTCGGGAATCACGGAAAGATATTCACCCTTCAAGGTTTCGAATTCAGCTTTCATGTGCTGATGCGTGAAATTTTTAATT